TTGGCCATTGTGAATGATGCTGCAATGAACATAGGGGTGCATGTATCTTTATGCATTCATGTTTTCATGTTCTTTGGTTAAATACCCAGCAGTGGAATAGCTGGATCGTATGGTAGTTCTATTCTTAATTTTTTGAGGAATCTCCATACTGTTTTCCATAGTGACTGCACCAGTTTGCACTCCCACTAGCAGCGTATGAGAGTTCCCTTCTCTCCACATCCTCTCCAACACTTGTTGTTTCCTGTCTTGTTAATTATAGCCATTCTGACGGGAGTGAGGTGATATCTCATTGTAATTTTGATTTGCATTTCCTTGATAGTTATTGATGTTGAACATCTTTTCATGTGCCTGTTGGCCATCTGTACATGTTCTTTGGAGAAATGTCTGTTCAGATCTTTTGCCCATTTTTTAACTGGGTTGTTAGTTTTTTTGTTGTTGAGATGTATGAATTCTTCATATATTTTGGATATTAACTGGAGTGGCAAATTCTGATCCCCTACACTAGCCATTGGGGTAAAGGGAAAGACTTAGTAAAACAGACATTGTCACTCAGTTTTGATAAATATTTAAAAATATCCAGGCCTTTTCCATGTTTACTAATAACAAGAAGGAATTAATTTAATTCTACTATAAAACTGAAATGACTATATTTCTTTATAGAAAAGGCGAGAATAATTTAACTCATCAATATAAAATCTTTGATGCAAAAATCAAACTATTTTTTAAACTGCCAGGTACTTTCTTTTTCCCAGTATTTTGCATCTTTTACCAAAATCTTGGCTTATTTTGAGCTCAAAATTTTACTTTCAGCATTCCTTTTGGACATGCACAATGCACCAGATTAACAACAAAGTTAAAAGGTAGATTTCCTAAAACACAAAATCTCAATTTATGCTTTTCAAGCCAGAAAGCTCTATGCCTCAAGCAAATAAAAGACAGTTAAATACATTGTTTTATTTTCCCTTTTCACCCTGCTGATAGAAAGAGAAAACACAAAAGAATATTAAAAAATTAAATTGTTCTCTTACACTGAATATCTTTTACATAGAAATCCTAAAGTTTATGTAGTAAAAATGGAAAACAATACTATTTCAGTATAATATACATCTTTTAAAATATATTATTTCTGAAACCAAATGCTTGACATCTGACTCAGTGCTTCCTTCCAAAAAATGACAAGAAAAAAGGGACAGAATCTGCAGTGCAGTCCTGCATACTCGCACCATTTTCTTGTAACATATACTGTTTTATAGATGAAACTGCCATGGCAAAATGACAAATATACACAAAAAAGAACAAAAAGGGGCAGTAAATCACCAGTGACACTACAACCCATTAAAATGCTTGTCTTGCAGAAAAAAAAAAAAAATTTCCCCTCGTTTTACATTCTTTCTAGCTGAAAAGGAAATTTTAAAATCCTCAAGCAACTCTTATAAGAGATGCTGAAATTCCAACCAAATTCTCCTCACACTAACTTTCTATATTGGCTCCATAGCCAAAATATATAGCACCAATACCCTCGTTCACTGTTTAATAAGAAATGCCCGAGACGAGGCACATGTATTGTTAATCCTCCATATTGATATGATTCTGCATTTGAAAAGACCAGGATACCTAATTATTTGGAAAATGGTAGTTCTAATTCAGCCACTATTTCTAATAAATTATCAGCTTAAATGAAGAGTTTGGCCATTTTTACATCAAAGGAAGCCTAAAGGAGGCATTTTCTTCCCTTACTTTTTACCCAAAATTCTCTCAAAAGGTCAAATCAAAGCTCCTGACACTGAAAATGACTCTGGTGTCATATAGACATTATGTTTTAGAGTACAACTGCATATATGTTAACTCATTTCATTATGCACTTATCATTATTACAAATAGTTCAAGATATTGGTAAGTTCACTGAAGTGGAACATTTATTGAACTGTTTATGTTGGTCTTAACAAAGATGATAAATATAAGTTCCTTGAGAGCAGAGAGCTCATGTTACACTTCTTTGAGTTCTCCGCATCTCTTACACAGAGCTAATTACACACCACGCTCTTGAAGGAGAGGAGAAGCCCTTGAAGGTCAAGGATGCACGAGTGAGAGCCTCCCTCCTACAGTATGGGCAGGGAACACGCGTGGAGCAGTGCAGAGCAGAGCTCCCTAAAGCTGAGTACTTCAGGGATTGAAAAGTTGTAACTTTCATTTCTATCAGAACTGAACTGTACACACTTCAGAAAAATGTCCGACAGGAGGCTGACCCTGGGAGGTCTGTGTGACACTTGGTCCAGCCACACCTCCCCGAGTCCTACTCATCCTGACGGCAGTCACAGTTGGGGGCTCATCTGTGGTAGGGATGTTATTTAAAAAAAAAGAAAGTGGTGTGGAAATTAGTTTATACTTTGAAGGCAATTTTATCGTTTACAAATGCATTCATTCCATCGCAAATTCATAGCTGGTCTCCAAGTGCCTTCCAAGTGCCAAGCACTGAGTGGCAGGTGTGGAAAGTATAAAGATATACAAAATATGGCCCCTGTAGTAGCAGATAAAAATATTTCTACACATATCTCATAGTACACAAAATCAACAACCTCCAATACAACACTTTATGAGTCTAAGGACTAAACTCTTGAAAGGGAAAACTATAACTGTGTACAGCTAAAGGTGGTGAGGTTTTATCTCAGTGCCTACATTCAAACAATACTGCTGAGTTTTATTATGCGTTCTGTTCTTTGTCAGATTTGATTCATATGCCTACTCCAGTAAACAGCTCTCAAAATAAATACAGTGGACACCTCAGGCAAGAGGTTGAATGAAACCAGTCCATCTCGAAGGTACTCAAAGTGTTCCTTCGATATGTTTGAACCTGGCCCTTAAATTCCCTACCATGTGCCCTTCCATGGTGATCACAGATTACCAATAACCCAGGGCCAGTACTTAGACTGCATTTAGCTCTTCTATTCATATCCACTCACTCTGTTCTTTTTCTCTAGGCTGGAGAACAACCTTCTATTTCTTAGAGTTTTACTTCTGTCTTTTGGCCTCTTTCATCTCTCCTCCAATGTTTGTAGTGTGGCTGGAGTGGATAGTGCAAACTTGAACCTGTCTGCCCCTCCTGAAAACACCTCAATTGCTTCCTACCACTCCTGGGATCAAGACCAAAGTCTTAATGTAACTTACAAGGTCACAGCCAACCTCTGTCTGCCAATCAACCTGACTGCTCACCACACATCCTTCTAGTGATGAATGCCTTTTTGCAATTCTGCATTCTTGGTCATGCTACTTCCCACCACAGGACTTTTGCACCTGCTGTTCCTGCTACTGACAGAGCTCAAGCTAGTGAACAATCTCACCATCTTCAAGCCGTATCCAGTCCTCCAAGCTACTCGATGTGGCTAGGACCTACAGTTACATCTTCATCTTACAAATAGAGACCCTTGGGTCCACAGAGGGACAAACGCCACCTATCTGCATTTAGGCCTGCCCCTGCTATGGCTCATAAAGAGTACCAAGGATCTGGGTCTGACAGGTGGAGGAAGAAAAGTGGGACAGATGCAGTCTGGGAGTAGGAGTAAAACAGATAATGTTGGTGTGAGTGGGCCGGCCACTCTCCAAACAGTTAAACTAAAATTAAACCTTTCTTACAGCCTTTGCCAAAAGAAACAGCTGATTAAAATTGTGCTTTTGTGAATGGGTTGAAAAACCATGAGTCTGTTTTATTTGCAATGGAAAAGTCTACTAAATTAAAAAAATATATATACTATGGAGAAGAGAGATTTTGCAATTGAGTAATGTAAAACCAGTCAAATTAGGCAAAATAAACCAATTTCAAAAGATTCCGGTCTTCATTCAAAATTTACTCATGATAGTGACGAAAGCTATAAAATACCTAGGAATGAATTTAACGAGTAAGATCATCAACTGTTCAGTTATTCAGTAAATAATTTTGAACCCCCACTGGGTGCCTGTGGGGCTACTTTGGAAACAAGACAAACAGGCAAAGCCCTGCTCCCCCCACATTCTAGGAAGAAGACACTAAGTCGTCACAGAACTTCAAAAAGAGGCCCTGTGATGTTAAACCTAAGGTATTATAAATTAGGCACGCTGGAACTGGGATTTTACTGTTTGAGACCTCAAGAGTAAGTAGAATTCAATACAGCAATTTGAGCACAGGAGATGATCTGGAGATCTAAGAACACTGATACCTCATTCAAGGGCCTCATAATACTGCAATAATTAACAGTTAATAGGGTATTACAGTTTATAAAACACAACAATATTTGTAGTTTCATTAATTATTAATTTATTCCTATAAATAAAGGCACTTAATCAGGTACAATATGATATAAAGAATTGAGTGTTTTAAAATCAATATAAGTAGATTCTTGGAAATAGAACTATGAGCCCATGAGGACAAACAAAATACAGATGAGGTGAGCACTTAACACAATGTCTGGCACATAACACGAAACCAAGAAATATTTGTCAAGCTAACTGAATAAGAAGGTCATATATCTTCATGAAATAAGAATTCAATGAGGATTTTGAAAATGCAGATGGATGTCTATGATATAGTCAAACTACGTTGCCTGAAAGTTAAACAAGATATTTTCCTCTAACAGAACTCATCAAGTGACTACCTATGACCTAATTAAATCTAGTGCCACAGACCCAGTGATGTTTCTTGCCATCATTTCTAAATTAAATCACACAGAACTTCCTCATTGTACTCATGGTTACTCTAATGGTCTGAAAGAGTTATTTAACTACAAGTTAACTGATAATGCCTCATTTTAATGCAGCATTTTACATTTCTCAAAGCATTTTCTCCTATACTTCCACATGTGATGGTTAAAACCACACTGCCAGGTTGACAAGATGACATTACAGCTCCTGAACACATACACACAACTGCACTTTCTCCTTTAGGAGGCGCTGTGTGGTGAGCTTAGGGTGGTTCACCCTCACCACTTCTACATCTCATCCTTGATCCCATCTTCTCAGGATTTTAACCAGGCCACTCAGACACAGTCTATTTTGGTTTCCTGTATCAAATAAAGACAGGAAAAAAATCACTATTTATGTTTTATTTAAAACAAATGAAAGTATCTGAGGTTCTATTTAAACACTGAAAAGGGAAGATCTCCTTGTTCCACGTGTGGCGTTAATCTCACAATGATCACTCCTTGAACCACGCTTAGATACATTTTCCAGCTCCAGTGCCATGGGGGTGGGCATTTCTGGAGCAGATGATGAGCAAGGAGCTAAACACAAAATGTCTCTGCCTGGGGCCCCTGGCCTCCTTCTCCAGACCCTCAGTCACTCCCATGCAAACACTACTGCAGAAGAACTCCGCATCCCAGATTTCCTCCTTTACCAGCAAAAGTCAAGTCAACGATGACACCTAGACCCGACGATGCTGTGAGGGAGGGAACCACTGTGGTATCTGGAAAACTTGTCCTTCTCTCTAAGGAGACTTTAATACCTTATCAGAGTTCTGGATTGGTCTGAACAAGGGGAGGGAAAAAAAAAATTCAGAAACGCCTGGACAGTTTTATGTTGTTTCCATCTGATCTTTCGAAAGCTGTTTTCTATTAATAAAAAAAAGAGCATCATGGCGGAGTGAGCTCTCCCGTGAACTCTTCCCCCGACAAGATACAACAAAAGGAACAGTCACAGACCAACAACGGAATCCCAGACAGTGAAAAGCTAGAGTGGAGGGATC